TAAAAAAGATGCGGCATTTTTATATAATAGAATACTACTCAGAGATAAAGAAAGATAAACTCAGGATTATTATAAGTAAATGGATGCAACTAGAGACCATACTCATTGGTGAAATAAATCAGACCAGCATACGTAAACATCATATTGTCTCCCTACTGTAAGAACCTGAAAGAGCAAATACAATCTGAAAGGTAGAACAGATATTGTGAAAGGGAAAGAAACTGCTCAGTAGGAAAGAACAACTGGGATGAGGGAAAGGAGAAAAGAAAGAAAAAAAGGAAGGGAAAATACATATACAATATAGCTGAGATAACTGTACTTAACTTCTATTGGTTTATTGAAAGGAACAGTTAACGTTTAATTGTTTGATAAGTCTTACATGACTATGTTTGTTTAACTGTGTAACAAATTTGAAGATAACAATATGTAATACAGCAATCACTGTTAATTTCTTATTGCCTTGTCTGAAACTATGTATTGCTTTTAATGTTTTTGTGTTGTTTTGTTCATGTCTGTTTGTTTGTTAATATGTTTTCATTCTTTTATCTTTAAAATAAAAAGTATATTGTTATATATTATGTAGTTGGAGAGATCTATATGAATATAAAAGCTTATCATTGTTAGCTTTTGTATATCTTCTTGCTTTGAATTTATCATTTAAAAAAGGAAGAAGCGAAAATAGCAGAAATTAATACATGTACACATAAAGTGTTAATATAATATTGACTCATCAGATAGCAGGCTTGATATGAACATTCAATACCTATCCTTTCACATTAAAATTGATTATTGTTGGAACAGTGCCAAATAAACACAGGAATATAGTTTATTTACTGTAGTGTTTTGAGACTAAGTAATCTCCTTATAGAATGGCAAGAAAGAGTTAAAAATTTAAATGAGACCCAATGGGTTTTTTTTTTATTGATAAGGCTGCAATTATAATAGAAGCAAAAGCATCACACATTGAGCAGTACTATTTTGTAATGTGCTCACCATTTGCAAGTGAAGAAGGAAGCTTTTGCAAGGGAAAATAAAGACTACATGGTATGGTGTGCATTCTGAGCCAAACAACCTTCATACAAGCAATTAGCTCATTAGTTATTCCTTCTTACCAAGAACAAAAGAATGCAAGAGCTCTCCAAATCAAGGCACTGGGAGTGGGGTCATCAAAACAGGCTGGACACAACGTTCAGGCTAGTCTTTCCTGGCTAGCAGGGTTCTTCATGATGGCTTCCCTTTAAGCAAAGCACAGCTGCTAGGAAAACCAGAGGCTGATGCTATCAAACTAATCCTATCAATCTAGTTTGTCCTAGTAGACTTATGCTGGAATGTATTGCACTATCATAAGGGCAGAGTTTTTAGCCAATGAAGTCAATAGTCTTTTGACTGAAAAGAAAAAGTGGTTGTTATTGGGAAGTTGCTGAAAGAAAAAAATGGCTAGTTTGGGAAAGCTGTAAAGAAAAGCAATTAAAGGGACAACAGTAGCCCATAGATTGATGTAAGTTAAATTAAACCAAGATGCCACATAAGAACATGATTAGATGGAAAAATGAAAACAGATATATAAGATAAAACACAAGTCAAGGGAAAGGTTTCTTAGCAACTTAGCTACAAGAAATTCTGTAGGAACAGAAAAAGCCAGAACATTTCTACATGCACAAATAATGACTGGTTCATCCTGTACAAGAAAGCCTAAAGAATATTTTGACTAGAAAACTACAAATCTTTGAAAATGAAGTTGCTGATTAAGTACAAAAGGTGTTCTGTGATTGTAGCCAGCTATCTCAGGCCTTGATGTCATTCTTCCATGCTGCTGCTTTGCTTATTCTGCATGGCTTTCTATTTCCACGAGTCCAAACTGATGTTACTGTAGGAAAATACAAGTATGAGTGGAACCACATCACTCCCTGTACACAATATTTGTTTGCTTGGTGTTGCTAGTTATGCAACAAACAGCAGTCATCTCTGCCTTAGATCTACTCTTGTGAGCAGGTTCCAAAAGTCTTCATATCTCCTGTCCACTGTGCTACTCTAGTACCACCGGCTACCATGTCTTGACTCAAATGTGCTAATCCAGGAAGACTAAATTGCTTGCCACTTCAGAACTTCACACACTAATTACTTTGCCTAAAATTGATTCTTCTGCTTGTTGGCCTGGGGAGCGCCTACTCACCCTTCAATTACTCAGCTAATCTCTCATCTTCTTTAGGAACTATTCCCAGAGCTTCCTGGTAGTCTTAATTATTCTTTCTTTTTCAATGGATTTTTTTTTTTGTCTCTTATATGCTGTTTTGTTCTTGCCTTTTCCTTCTACACTTTAATTTGTTTCTTGTATGTTTATTTTCTCTACAGCCCTTGAAATCTGGAAGAAATATCTGTGTCTTTTTTAAATCTTTGTGTTATTATTGCTGGTATAACGCCAGATATGCCATGGAAGATGATTAATGAATCCTTTTCTTAGTCTGCCTTGTGTTACTATAACAGAACACCACAGACTGGATAATTCATAAAGACTATGAAGTTTTGTCATACAGTTCCTGGAGGCTGGGAGGTCCAAGTCCAAGAGGTCTGCATTTGGTATGCGCCTTCTCATCCCATGGCGAAAGGTAGAAGACAGGAAGGCAAGAGAGGACAAGAGAGTGCAGCTGAGCAGGAGACGAGCAAAATTCACGTTTATAACTATTTGCTCGGCAACTTATCCACTCCAGCAATAAGGATATTAATCTACTCAGCAGGGCAGAACTCTCATGACCCTGTCACCTCTTTTTTTGTCCCACTTCCCAAGACTGTTGGGTGAATGTGTTGAACACATTCAAACCAGAAAAATCACTGATTGATTGAAAAACTGACCAAATTAGAACCCCTACTCAAGTACGGGTTATCAAATACGGGTATTATCACTTATCTATGCTTTTCACGCACTATCTACAGGGAAACCACTAAAAATACCCCTACTTAGAGGGTAGTTATTACACTAGGTACCAGCCATTCAATAAGTACTTTACATGAACTAATTTACATTGTTATCACAGTAATTTGAGGTTAGCATTATGCCTATTCTTTTTTAAGGTAGGAAACTGAGGCATAGAGAGATTTAGTAACTATCGAAGGTTACAGAGTAGCTGAACTGGGCTTTGAACTACCATAATGAGTTCAGACCTGAGCTCTTAGCATCTAGACTATACAACCCTTCAATGAGAGAAATTCTGAATGGAGGCTCTTCCTAGATAAATTCTGAAAAATGAGCTGGTAATTTCACTCTTTGTAATGCTAAGAAGCATTTTTGCCCAGGCAACCCAGCATTTAGAATGGATTTCATGTGAGACCAGGGCAGGGCAGACATTTATCGTGTTCACTGCAGGAGCTGTTCATTAAGGGGCCGAGAAAGAGAAAACCACTCTGAGACCCGAAGGGGCATCTAATGAGAAAAAGAAGATGTGGGAAGCAGAATGTGAGATCTTGGGAACAAATACGACGGAGAACTGCAGAAATGTGCATGCCCTCGTGCTCATAAAGGTCAAGTGCACTGCTAAGATTACAGCACATGCAGCAGAACACGAAAGTGTTGAGACCAAAGGAAAACATTGCAGCAAACAAAGTGCACTTTCAAAAAACATGTAGGTTCTTCACATGTATTTTTAAACAGTGTGAAAGGTATTCACAGACCACAGTAATGTTTAAAAGATCCTCTTGTTTTCTATAATCACTTTCCTCAGACACTGGAGTTGCTTCTTAAAACATCTCTCTAAATCTCTGCTGAATAAATCATCTGAGTTTCCCTCACTGGGGCTGTTATTCTCGCTCACAAAAAGGAGTTTGGCATGGAAAGACCAAGCTCAAAGGGTGTGGAGGGGAGGAACCCAGAATCCTGCTAGCGGGCAAGAGGAAGAGGACCTGGAGTAATTACTAATTGTTCTTCCTCCTCACAGAGTTAAAAAACAAAAAAACAAACAGGTGGAGATTACCTGCAGGGCTTTACAAATGGGATATTCAGAAAAACAGTTTTCTATCAATGTTCCTCAAAGGGATGAGGCTGTGTCTTTATTTACTAGAACTTAGGCTAATAAAGGAAGAGACCAATAAATTTGGCTAAGCAATTAAAAATATTTTTAAAGTTCTACATGTACAATGTAGTACACAGAACTGCAATTTTTATTTGGGCAAAATGTATGAAAATACATTACTGCATATACATTCTAACTCACAAAAGAGGTACAGATAAAGTGGGAAGAGAAAATGAATTGAAAGAAAGCTTAGAAGAAGAAATGTTACATATGTTTGCTTTAAAGATGAGCATTGCGGGGGTGTCTGTGTTCCAGGACCACAATAAATGTGATATTTCTTCTCTTCTTCTCTTCTCTTCTTTCTCTTCTCTTCTCTTCTCTTCTCTTCTCTTCTCTTCTCTTCTCTTCTCTTCTCTTCTCTTCTCTTCTCTTCTCCTCTCCTCTCCTCTCCTCTCCTCTCCTCTCCTCTTCTCTTCTTCTCTTCTCTTCTCTTTTCTCTTCTCTTCCTCTTCTTTCTCTTCTCTTCTCTTTTCTTCTCTTCACCTTTTCTTTTCTCTTCTTTTCTTTCTTTTCTCTATTTTGAGACAGGGTCTCACTATGCAGTTCAGGCTGGCCTTGAGCTCATTCTGTAGCCCAGGCTGGTCTCAAACTCCTGGTAACGATCCTCCTGCCTCAGCCTCTAGAGTGCTGAGGTTTCAGGTGTGCATCACCACGCCTGGCTTAAAAGTAATGTTTCTTAAAATTCCATTCAGGTAATCTAAGTCTTTTTTCCCCTGTATGTAAACAGGGTCACACATGTGTGGATCTGCTGCTGACCTCAGGGAAAGAAGAGGTGAGAATTTTGAGGCTTTATGAAGTATATTCAATGAGGATAACTGAGTCAGGGCAAGTCTCAAGATCTCAACCATTTCACCAGATATAACAAATTTGGTCTTTAAATAACCTCCCAATTACACTTTTTTCCTTGATAGACAGAAACACCAGTGCCCCCCTTACCTGACCCTGGGGTTTCTGAGAAAGTCCATTTTTGTTGTCATTTCTCTTGAAGTCAGCTCCTCTCTGCCCCATCCCCTTGTTATTTTACTGGACTAGAAGTTCATAAATGGGCTGAACGTTCCCTTCCCCACACATTTGCCATCTCCCTGAAAACATGAACTTAATTAAAGCAGATGCCCAGCCAAACTCATGGGCTACAGCCTGAGATTGTTGGGAGCTGCCTTAGCCGCTCCCCTAAGATGGCGCCTGTTTCCTGCTTCCGGGTTCTTGTTGCCGCGTAAACAACCTTGTAAAACGTGTGTCTGCCTAGATACTGATGATTCTGACCTATCAGCTTGTAACCCTTGCTTTGCATTGATTGGCTACTAAGACCTTATATAAGTGTGCGTCTCTGCCCCCAAAGGGAGAGAAGGGAAGGATAGATGAGGGTGGAGGATCTTGTCAGATCCAACAGCGCTGTACATAATAAACATTGAGAGCTGACTCATTTGTGACTAAGTTCTTACTAAAACGGCGCCGGACATGAGATAAAGTGAACTGCTTTATTTTGGTCTTGGGTGACTTTTCAGAATTAATTTGCTTCATTCACTGCACGTGGAATATAAATCAATTGACTGCTTATCACTCCTTTCCTTACAAACTACATTTTCCCTTTTTCTTAATATTTTTGTTGATGTTAGCAAAATAGGTTGATTCATTAAAATTAGTTGTAATCTCTTCAGTCTCTACCCAGTTTATGCAAACACAGCAAAGGCAAGTTACAAATAATTCATTTTGAGCATTATGGTCCACTGTTTGATGGAGAAGACCCCACTACCAAGATGAACCTGAAATTCAGAACTTGCTGAATTGGGAAATTATAAGCGATGAGCAATCTGGTGAAACTTTACTGTCAACTTTTTAAGTGGTTTTCTAATGCTGAAGTTTTTTGTTGTCCTATATATTTTTTGTTTTGCTTTTATTTTTGCTTGAGGCAGGAATGTTACTATCTCAAAATATAGATCACTTTTAGTTCTAAAAGTCAGGTTTTGTATTTTAAATAATTATACCCCTTTTTCTTGACAGGAATAATTTTATTCTCTATTATGACATAGCTCATACTCTAGCTGCTTATATCAATTACATTGTTCCAGCGCATACTGAGTAGCTGCCTACTTGAAATTGTTCTTCTGTTGGCTACAACGCATTGCTTGCCAGTTATAGAGTAAGGACTTTGTCTAGACTGCTTCCAAACCTTAAGAAACATTTCAAGGAATGTTTTCAGCATTAAGTTAGTGAGAAGGAAACTGAAGCTCATAGAAATTACCCTAAACACATAGACTAATTAACAGAGCCAATACTTTGAGCTTAAATGATGTCTGGTTCCAACACTCATGTTTTTTCCAGTACAACATATTCGCTGCTAACTCCTTTGGGAAAATACCTTAAAGGAGGATAGCTGGGTAAAATGGAATTTCTATTTTTAGTTTTTGGAGGAATCTACATAGTGATTTCCACACTGGTGAATATATATATTCTCTCTCTCTCTCTCTCTCTCTCTCTCACACACACACACACACACACACACACACACACACTAGAAGAGAGATAAATAGGAAGTAGAGTGGTCAAATACCTCCCCAAAATATAAATTCATTGTTTTAAAAATATATCAATAAATATGCTAATTGTTTCCTTTATTTAATAGTTTAGTTTATTGAAAGAAAGATTTGTTTCATTAATCTATTTGCTTCTTTTTTATAAGAATCTTGTTGGTTTATATCTCATACTCTGAGTACTACTATAAAAATAATGAAACATAGTGTAATAACAATTGCTATTCTCTTATTTGACTGTGAGATTTTTTTCATAAAATAAAAAGGAGGTAAAAAACTTAACCTACTATTTTGCCCTCTACATATTATCAAACACTTAGCTCTGTGTTGTAACAGCGAAGAGATTAGTGTTCAGTTCAGATTCTGCCCGTGGAGTTATCAACTTGGCAGGAAAAATGGTGAAATACTGACAGTATCTGTGGGAGGGACCGCTTCATGAATGGAATAGGTATAATCGTACCATTGTATTGCTGTTAATATTTCCTTCAGAAAAACCAGACTCTAATCAAAGGGAAATAGGGAATTGTTTCCACTACTGTTGGCTGATCGGGTCCCTCAAAGAAAACTAGACCAGCTGTGTCTGTATCTATCATCTCTTCTTCCTACTGCACCTCATTCACTGGAGTTTTTCAGAGGTGGAGGTGGATGAGGCCAGACAAAGCAGCCAGAGTCCAAACATGGGTTCTTATCAGCATACCTCAGAGTCCGTAACAAGCGGTATAAGACAGAGGATGGACGGATGGATGGTTATCTTAAGGTTCAGCATTCAGCCTGTGCTGAGTAATTGAATTGCTGGGAACCGTATCTTACTTGTCTACTATGTGTATGAAATCTACTGTGAAATGGCAATACTTGAATAAAAACCATAGTGCAGGGTGTAGGGAGTTTGTGTGTGTGTGTGTGTGTGTGTGAGTGTTTGTGTGTGTATGTGAGAGAGAAACAGAGAGACAGAGAGACAGAGACAGAGACAGAGCCAGAGAGACAAAGAAAGAGAAGGTTGACTAATATGAGAAACCAATACTTTAGTTTTATAAAAGCCCAACTGAGCACACTGATTTTTTAAAAAATTCCTGTTATGACTGAGACTTACAAATCTATCAACAAGAAAAAAGAGAATCATGAATGAAAAAAGATAATTTATACTTGATATAATCAAATCACTTTACATTTGGTAGAGATAAGTTAAGTCCAGAGAATTAAGACATTTCTTTTAGGGCTACATAAATAGCCCTAAAATAGTCAGTGGCAGATAATGTAGGCATATTTTTGTCCTTTTCTGTGACATTCTACCCTACAATATTACAATTAAAAAGTCTACATCTTTAGAATGCCTGTAACAATTTTTTTTTTTTTTTTTTTTGGTTTTTCTCCGGTACGGGGACCCGAACTCACGACCTTGTGCTTCCCAGGCAGGCACTTTTGCCGCTGAGCTAAATCCCCAGCCCCGCCTGTAACAATTCTTATTTTAAATCCATGAACGACTATAGTTCCATTTTCTTTGCAGTAACAGTTAGGTACAAAGCGAACAGATAAACAGGTGCTAGATTAAAACAGTTTTGAAATCCACCCTTGTGACTTCTCTATATGATTTCAGGTAAGTTAGCAAGCTTCTCTAAATTCATTTTCTTCATCTTAAAGGTGGAGAGAACAAAATTTCTCTATACTTGGTTCTGATGATTTAATTAAATAAAATCTGAAGCACACAGATTAATGCCGGTACAAATCTAAGTTCCTCTACAAGACCACTAAAAATGGAAGATGCAGTGAGTCAGGTTGTATAGATTGCCTACTTCTTTCCTTCCGTTTGTTTTAATTTTACAACTTGGAAGCATTTCCTCCTACTAGCTCTTCATAAAAGGATCAGAGTAGAAAATCTGCCTAATACTGGCTAATTTCGAGCACTCTTGCCATCTAAAACTTGAGCCCTTTTGCTCTACCCTGAAGAAATCAGTCTCTCTGTATTGAATTGTCAAGTCGTATAACTCTGACAAGGCCAACGGTAAGTTTGGGAGAAGATGAAAAAGTCACTGATACATGCTGGAAGTTTGATGATGAGCTGCGTCTTAGACAAACTGTCATGTGGACATTTTTAATGACATGGTCTTGCTTTCTTTGAATTTTGTATAAAATGGGAGAAGGTGTAACATACCCAAAGGTCATCATCTTTCATTCTGAATCATGGCATTAACTTGTTCAGTGTATGAAAGAAAAAAATCCAGGGGAGCTTCTTGCAGCTACATTTCAAATTTTTTCCTGTGTCTTCCGGAAAAATTCACATCTTTAGTCTACTTTTCAGTGTTTTGTCTCCATCTCAGAAGCCCGCTAGAATCTCAAAATGACAGTGTACCTACCTCTTTGATATTCTGCAACCTCTTACAGTCTTTATTCTCCCTATCTGTGTCCCCGTGTGTGTTTCTTTGTCCCCTTCTTCCTTTTCCCCTCATGAAAAGTTAATAATTGCATGATTAACACTTTTGGATAATACTGAGAGGGCGAGTTTTATTAATGAAACATTCCTGCCTTTCTTCTCTGGGTTCACCAGATAAATGTTTGGTAGCATTGGGGAGAAGGGAGAAAAGGAAAAAGTGTAAATATTTTTACAAAAAACAGCCACATTTTGGGGGTCTAATGCAGCGTGACTGCAGTATATTTCATGGGTTTAATGCACACTGTACCCAGAAAGCACCAGGAAAATTGGGACCCCTGCCTGCTCGGGCCCTGTCGTTAATGAGACACTCTGCAGGACAGCCCGGCTCTGCCATCACGGCAGGCAGCGATGTCAGTCTGCGCCTCCCGGGTACTAGAAGCTGGCACTAATTTTCAAATTTTCTTACTGCCTAGCAGGGGAAATACTTCCCTAGATACATGATAAAACTGCAGCAGCAAGTGGGATAACCAGGCTGTGGCTAGGCCTGCTTCAGAGAGAACCGCTGTGCTCAATAGCCGTGTTCACTGCACACCCTAGACACACACACACACACACACACACACACACACACACACACCGCACTCAGGAGACATGACTGCCTCTTCTACTCTGCACTGAGGAAGAATTTTCATCTGACATGGCTCATCCACAAGGAATTTGTCAAGCGAGGTACAGCATTTAAAATGAACATGGCAGTTGCTGCACCAGTTGAAGGAGAGGGTTGAAGGATTTGGGACTGGAATTGAAATCAAGCAAACGTCTACTTTCTTAATAATGTTAGAAAAGAGCACTTCTTTGACCCAAACTCAGAAAGCAAAGGCAGTGCTGTTTCCTTTGCTATCCCATTTTCTCCTGGAAGTTTCAAACATACAAAAGAACGAGATCATGAATCTGTTTTCCAGCTTTAGCAATGGCTGTTTTATCAATTTTGTTCAATATACTTGTGCTTTTCTTACTCAATCTTCTGCCCCTATTAGATTGAACCAACCCTATAATGACTTTATGTCATAATAATCATTGCATATATATCTGCAAGAAATGTTAATGCCTGTGATACTTATGAAATACATGATAATTCTTTATAATGATTAAATATCTCTTCAATCAATTTTTAAATTTCTCTAATGGATTTATCAACAAAGGTCATTACTCTGCAACTAGTTGTTAATAAATACTTTAGTTCCTTTTTATAATTTCTAAATTTTCCCCTTTTGAATGCTAATTTCCACATCTTTGTACTAGAAATTTTAACTTTTTAAAATTGCTTTTTAAACAATCTGGTTTATTTTAAAAACCTCAGACAACTTAGATGCCTACATGGGAAAGAACAGTTATGGGAAAGGATAGCACTAGAATATTAAGCATGACTTAGTTGAAAGAATGCCGTCTTTGGGAATGAGCTCAGGATGGTGGATCTGGTGTTCTGAGAAGAAGACCTTTGAGCTAGAATAA